TCAGCAGTTCCCGTGCCTGGCAGGAGGGATGTTGGAGGTGTGTGCTGCCTCGCAGTGCTGCAGGGATCAGCATGTGGCTCCTTTCTCTGGCACACTCTGCCCCTTGGCACATGTTTGATTCATTCTGCAGGAGTCACACAGTGAGAGTGAAAGAGAGAACAGGGCAGAAGAGGGAAGAGGAGGAAACCTTGGAGACAGATGCAGGGCAGTTGCACATGGAGCCTGGCTCCTGGAAGAGGATGCAAGATCCCCAGCAGCACATAGTGCCCGTTGAGACTTCCTTTTTGGGCTTAGATAAGACACCTCTTTGTCTCCTGTAGGACACCCCTCCAGCTCCTCTTAAAACATTTTGTATCCTCATGCACAACAACCACCAGGGTTCTGACTGTCCTTGGGTTTGTTCAGTGCCGAGCACTCTGGGAGTGGGAAACACAAACCCCTGCAAAGCGAGGGGCTTCCTCGAGCCTCCCTGCACATCCACCCATCTTGTGCTGCGTGGCTGGGCCTGCAGGTGGGGGTGATGCAGGATCCTTCAGGATTAGGTCCTTTCCGTGCAGGTTGGGTGACAGTGCCGGGCAGGTGGCTGTTTGCACGAGATAAACCTGTGTTACTGCTTGTGAATGGTGGCTGGGAAACGGCTCTTCCCCTTTCTGGAAAGGTGAGTCACTGTTTGAGCAGATCCTGCTGGGTGGCCGCAAAGCCAGAGACTCCCTGAAGCCTTGGTGCTGCTGCGTGACTGCTCAGAAGGAGCAAGGAGCATGTTCCTGCACTGGGGTGGAGCCTCGTGCTGCCCCGAGCCCTGCACCGGGCACTGCGGTGCTGGCAGTGGGGTGGTGGAACTTGATGAGTCTTGGTGCCACTCGGGTGCTTTTTGGGGTCTCCCAAAGCCCCCCGTGTCAGCCCCTGCCCCTCTGAAGGGGGGGCCTGCGCAGGAGCTGGTGGTGCCCGTGGTTTGGGCAGTGCCAGCACCGTGCTGGGACATGTAACTGAAAGTGGCAGCGCTGCCGCTGAGTGCGATGTGGGGGCAGGGAGGAGGTTACAGGAACCAGCGGTGAATCGGCAGCGTTACTCAAGGCATTCTTGGAACTGCTCTGGGGTTGAGTTAGGAAACCTGCTGCTATTTTAAGGACTAGGTGGTTTTTATGCCACGGTTTCTTTGTTGTAGTCTTTGTGTGACTTGCAGTAGGGATAAGCCATCTGTCAGGGACCTGCCCAGGGCTGTTCTAAGTGCTTGTGCCGTGCTAAGTGGAGAGCAAACACTCCTTGGGTCCGTTTATACCCAGGGAATGGCTTTATCGGCTTGCCTGGTCAATAGCCTTGGCTCTGCTGTGGCATCCCTGCCGTGCTGCAGTGGGTGTTGAGAACAGCATGGTGTTTCCATCTTGTGCTGGTAAAGAGAGTCCTGGCTTGTGTCACACTTGCCCTTGTTGCACTGGTGAAGTTGTGTGTGAGCTGCAGTGGTGAGTGGGCTCGGGAGTCCTGCACCCTGGCAAGAGTCTGATTTCATCTTCAGTGGCTGCACAGGAAGCAAGTGGGTGCAATAGTTTGCACTTCTCTTATGAGTCTTTATTTCATGTGAATTCACCTGTTGGAGCAGGAGATGCCTCTTCATGTGCTGCTGTGTGCAGCCTCAGGAGGGGGTCAGTCACTGGGTGACTGCGCTGCTCCCTGGGCTGGTCCAGGCCTGGCCCGTGCTCTGTGCTGTAGGTTTTGCTTCCCTGAAAACCACTTTGTCTCATTTCAGTGTTTCTGGGATATGCTGTGGTGCAAAACAACTTCTAACTTGATGATGGCGACTTATTCTGGATTATTTGGGGCCTCCATGCAGTGTATGTACATTCCTGAGCAAGTGTCCCTAGGGTGGCACTGGGTGTGCTACAGCCTCCTAAGAGCACCCGTGTTTGGACAGCACAAGCCGTGCAAGGGTCCCCCAAAGTTCGTACAAAGCTTTGCAAGACCATTGCAAGGAAGCTCCTGTTGTGTCCTGATCTTTTATGGTTACTGTCATTTAACACTCTTGGTTCATTCTAAGCACATGTGTGAGGCTGCCCCGGTCACATCCTTTGTCTGCCATGCTTCCTTTCCTCTCCTGTTTCCCTGCAGGCCTCTGGTTGTACCTGGCAGGAAGCGATCTTCCCTGCCTCACCCTCATTGGCTCTCCGAATTTTGGATATCGATCAGTTCATCGTGACTTGGAAGCTCAGGTTGCGATAGTGACGGAAAACAAAGCTCTGCAGCAGCAGCTCCATCAGGTGAGTGGCTCATCCCGGGGGGATGACGGGGATGTTGTGCTGCCGTCTGTCACACAGGGAATGCTGATGACGCAGTTGCAATAAAGCCCCACAGCTACAATAATTCTAAACCTCCTCGAGCAGAGGAAGTCTCGGGAGCTGTCAGTTAAGTGACTATTGATGAGATGCCTGCTGCAAGTGCCTGTTTCTGGGAAATGGAGACCATAACGGGAAAGAACATGTGTCCCCAGTGAACTCGAGCATCGGGAGTGCTCAGGCACTGGATGCTGAGACGCGGTGGGCAGGGAGGATGTGCTGGCTCCCTGCTGCTCACACAGCACGTTCCTGGGCCTCGGCCCCAGTGTTTGGGCACAGTCAAGGTCACACCGTGCTCCACGGTATGAGGTCAGACCCCTGGAATTGTTCATCTTGGACTTGGGGCGGGGGTTTGCTTCTCTGGCATGTGGGAACTCCTTTGTAGGAATATAAAAGCCAATCACGTAGCTTTTGGGTGGCTCTGCGGAGGTGAGCAAAGGCAGGGATCTTAGTCTAGCTTCTACAAGCAGAGTGTTTCTGGGCTGGTTGAATTGCCCACGAAGTTACATGACTTGATATAATCTTGAATGATAATAGGACAATCTTGGCACTAACGTTTTTCAGTGGGTTCGTGTTCAGTGTCCCAGTTTGGTGTGAGCTTTTTTATTTATTTATTATTATTATTTTTAACTGAGCAGCTTGGACTGCTCAGCACTTGCTGCTTCTCTAAATCCTGCCTGTCTTGACTCTGAACCTTCTGCTGGAACTGACTGTCCCAACTGATTTCTCATGCAGAGCTCTGATACAAAGCAAATTGGTTTGGTTCCTCTTTGTGTGACTTAGGGATCTCGAAAGTGTATCCTGTTAAGCCAAGCCCTGGCATAAGCAGGCACAGTTGTCTTTAAGATCAATGGGAATTGCCCTATTGCATGAGGGCTCTTCCACAGGATGAGTCAGAGTCTATCTAATCAAAAACAATTCTATTACTGGAAGAGTTGCTTGAATATTTCAATTCATGTCTTGCCTCTGCTTGTTTCTAATGGAAGAGGAGAATCAATGAAAATATGACAAAGGAATTTTCTCAGGCGGTGCTGCAGTGATCTCATTGAAAGGGCTTCAAACTGTTCCCTTTTGCTGGAAGCTGATTTTGAGGTTGGCTGTTTGTTTACTGTTCTGTGATCTTTGTTTAGAAGACTTAATACATTCCTGGGGTGCTGCCATGAAATCACTTTGCCCGTGTAACATCCAGTTCCATTGGAAAGTGCTGCTGAGCTCTGGGCTCGGGGTGTCTCTGGGTGCTCTCTCAATGAACTGGTCTCGCTTCCTGTGATAAGACAACCTCACTGCATCAGCTGACCACGGGGCAGGACCTCGGAGCAGGGCTGGCTAGAGCTCTTGGAGCACTTAGGGATTCTAAAGTCAGGCTGATTTGGCTCACATGTGTCTTCCTTCTATCGTTGCTTCATCTTTTTGGTGTTACTTTCCAGTGCTTGGTTCCTGCTTCCCTGTTCCACCCTGAGTTTATGCCCAGCGCAGAGCATGTCCTGTTGGTTGTGACAGCTTAGCTAATGAGAGACAGATTATGAACAGATTTACAGGCTGCTCCTTGTTTGCCTGCACATCTCAGCCTGTCTGCTGTTGATAAGAAAACCGCTTCTACCTTTGATCAAAGAGCTGCTCTCACGTGCGATATGAGTGTGTATTGTCACGGTGATGGTTCATTTCCTCCAGCAGCACTGTGTGCACACGGGGGATGCCAAAGTGTTTCTGGTAATTCAGTTGAAATCACAACTGCATCTTCACTTGAAACATGGCGCTTGGGCTGTGTCTAGAAAGAGCTGCAAAACCATCTCTTGAGGCTATGGGCAAGTTTCCTCTTCTGGCAATTGCAGCAAGGGACTTGGGAGCTTTCTGAAACAGCAGCTGAGCTCTCCTGCAGCTGTGGGGCACAGCAAGGCAAAACCTCCTGCCTTTGCTCTTTGTGGAGTTTAAATTGCTAATTCTTGAGATTTGATTACTGGGTGCACTGAGTCATCGGGGGGTGCTGTGGCAGTGGGTGTGAGGACAGATCCTGTGCTGGCTCCTCCACGGTGTAGTTGTGCTGCATGGAATGAGGCTCTTTATGTGCAGGCTTGAGAAATGATGCATCCTCTTGGCAGGGTCCATGGCCAGTTTTGTGAGTATTCGCTTTTCCTAAAGGCTGTTACATGATTTAACACTTAGGATTCACTGGGATGATATTTCTTTCCCTGTACAGGAGCAGGAGCAGCTCTACCTCTGCTCAGGTGTAGTCTCATCATCAACATTTGAGCAGCCAAATCGTTATGTGAAACTGTGGGTGAAGCTGGTAACACCTCTGATCAAGAATTTCTTTTGAAAGAAGAAAAGTTACTGCGTTGGGTGAGTTTTCTGCCATTGTTATGGGGAATTTATATTGCACTGACTGCAGTTAGTAAGTGCAGATGAGGGAAAGATTGATGATGTGGGGAAAAAAACAGGCATCTCTTTTCTGAGGTACTTGCCTCTGACTACAATCATTGTGCAAGGTCTCTATTGGGTTTCATCTAGAATTTCTGGAAGGGTCAGTGAAAGAGAAGCCTACGAAGGTATTTGCCATGCATAGGAAGAAAAGTGCCAGTTCTGAAATGTCCCTTTCAGAGTTCTGTGGGGAGGAACTGTGTTCAATTAGAAGCATTGTTGGAATATTTAAAATGTATTATCACCTTTTTATCTGATCCCCTTTGTTTGTAGATGTTGGTTCCATACAGTGCCCTGGATGTGCCTGGCTGTTTGACTGCCCACTGACTAATTGGAGTCCTCCTGAGCTTTCTGGAACTGCTCCTAGATTATCCTCTGTGCTGGCCATAGTCCATGCAGTTGGCACCCCAGTGTGTGCCCTTGATGCTGGGTGTTCACACATACATTTTATTTACATACATTTCCCTCCGTCTCTGGAGATCCCATTGATGGATCTGTTAGGATGTGTTACAAGTCTCTTTCATGAATTATGGAGAGGCCTGAGAGGACCTTTGGTGCTAATGTGAATTTTGGAAGCCTCCCACTTGCTGAGAGTGGGAGGCTCAAACCATAACATGTCCTGCACAGAAGCTGGTTGGGAAGCCAGATAAATCTGTCAGCACAGGCTTGGGGGAGGATGTGGATGTGCTCTGAGCGTGTAAGTGCTAGCAAAGGGATTTTTGGCACCCGAAGAGGCTGAAGCAAGTTTAAAGCTCAGTGGTGCTTTATTCTAAATGCTACTACTTTATAAAGAAACAAGCAGCTTTATTTGTGTTCCCTTGTGCCTTTTCTTACCATTGGCTGTGAGGGAAGTTTGATGCAACTGTATTTTAGAACTAATTGTTCAGATATTTCACAGGGTGGGATTTTGCTGAATTACTTTATGGCTTTTTCATGGTGGCCAGAGCAGATCTAATCACGCTGATAAGCGTCACTGCTGATACAAATTACATGAAAGAAAGGATAGATTCTGTAACCTAGAAAGTCTCCTTCAGAGACTGATTTGTTTGCAGCTGGGCTTTCTTTGGGTTCTGCAGGTTGGTGTGTTGGTGAATGGGGCTGGATGTGCAGCTTTCTCCTTCTGTCTGGTCTAACAGACACGTGCTGCTGTGCAGGAACAGGCCTTGCACACGCTCAACGAGGTTCTGCTCACAGTTAGCACTGAGCAACCAACCAATAGCTGTGGAAAGACAGAGAGCTGGGAGGAGGGAGGGGATAGGGTAGTTACATGCAGTTCTTCTGTTTGGCTTCCTCTGGTGGTCTGGCTCCTGCCCAGCACTTTATCAAAAACCACCAATTGAAACCCAGCATCCGGCAGGAGAAACCCCGTGTCCTGAAAGAGCAGATGCACCCTGAGAGCAACCCCAGCATGGCTTTATTGATCCTTTGCTAAAATACTTCTGGTACAATCAACCTTAGCCTAAGTTACACAACTTTGAGTTATTTTTGCAAGTAAAAGCATTTGCTGTTTCCCACAGTCATTCCAGTTTAGCTCTGTAAAAGCAGCGCCACACCAGCAAGGACCCACTTAGCGGCTTTCTCTTTTGTCTTCAGGTTAAAGGTCCAGACGTACGTGGGACCTCGCGTCCGTGTCTTGTAGACAGGACATTCGTAGATGTTCTTGGTGTCCACACGGTCCACAGGGATGGCTCTGATGAACATCACTGGCATCATGGGCGTCAGCTCCTTCAGCCGCGAGTCTGCGATCGTCCCAGAGGGGATGTCCCAGCGCGCACCGCAAGGTGCTTAGCTAATAGTGAAACTGGTTGGCTGCTCCCATAACTGCTGGTCGGAGGGAAGGAGCTGCTGTAGCAGCAGTCACGGGGGGAGTGTGAAGGTTGCAGCCTTGGTTGGGGCTAACGTGTTCTCATCTCATTGAGACTCATGAATGCATTTTGCCTTACGCCTGTGGGATGGCAAATAAATTCTGTCCCCACTCATCCCCTCAGCATGGGTTTGCATGAACAATGCATGGCCCAAGGTGGCACTTGGCTGTGGTGGGAACCACGCTAAGCTGTCCCCATGATCTGTGAAATGGGCCCCTTTGGTGCTGTGCTGCCACTGCCCTCTCATTCCCCCTTGCTTTTTAGCAGTAATTATTTTAGGTTCCGAGGTTCCCATTTTTGTCTTGCTCTCATGTCAAATACAAGCTTCATATATTTAGTCTAGTAACCATGTAGCTTCAGACACCCCAGTCCTCAGGTTCATGACACTCTCAATTTCCAAACCCCCT